CCAGGGCGACGATCCTCGAGAGGGGTGTGCCGAAACGAAGCTTCGGTGGGGCTCCCTGTGCGGCCAGGGCCGCGATCCTCGAGAGGGGTGTGCCGAAATGAGGCGTGGGTGGAGCTCCCTGTGGGGCCAGAGCCACGATCATCCTTGAGGGGTGTGCCGACATGAAGCTTCGGAGAAACCCTCTGTGAGGCCAGGGCCACGATCCTCGAGAAGGGTGTGCCGAAATGAAGTTTCGGAGGAGCCCTCTGAGGCCAGGGCCACGATCCTCGAGAGAGGTGTGCCGAAATGAAGCTTCGGAGGAGCTCCATGTGAGGCCAGAGGCCCTATGGGATTCCTATACAATTCCTAAATATGACTCCCATAGGATTCGTAAAGGCTTCCCGCAGGATTCCTATAGGATTCGTAAAGGCCCTTCCTATAAGATTCGCAGAGGCCCTATAGGATTCCCATAGGATTCCTACAGGATTCCTATAGGATTCGTAGAGGCCCTATAGGATTCCGATAAGATTCCTATAGGATTCCTAGAGGATTCGTGGAGGCCCTGTACGATACGTAGAAAGTCAGATAGGATTCCTATAGGATTCGTCAAGGCCCTATGGGATTATCATGGGATTCCCATAGGATTCCCATAGGCTTCGTAGAGGCCCTATAGGATTCCCAAAGGATTCCTATAAGATCCGTATATGATTCGTAGAGGCCCTATAGGATTCCCAAAGGATTCCTATGGGATTCCCATAGGAATCCTAAAAGCCACATTGGATTTCCATGGAATTCCTACGGGATTCCCATAGGAATCCTGAGGGCCCTATAGGTTTCCTACAGGCTTCCTCTAGGATTCCTATCGGATTCGTAGAAGGCCCTATAGCATTCCCATGGGATTTCTACGGCATTCCCATAGGATTCGCAATTGCCCTAAAAGATTCCTATAAGATGCCCATGGGATTCCCATAGGATTCGCAGAGGCCCCATGGGATTCCTGTGGGATTCCTATAGGATTCCTGTAAGATTCGCGGAGACCCTATAGGATTCCCATCGGAATCGGGGTAACGTGCGTTGCGTTGCGTTGCGTTGCGTTGCGTTGCGCCGGGGGGGGGGGGCGGCGCCAGTGAGTGGTTTCGTCAACAAGAACATCATCAGCATCATCAGCAGCAGCAGCATCATCATCAGCAGCAGCATCAGCATCATCAGCAGCAGTATCATCATGATCAGCAGCAGCAGCAGCATCAGCAGCATAATCATCATCGCCATCGCCATCGTCATCATCTTCATCATCATCATCATCATCATCATCAGCATCATCATCATCATCATCATCATCATCATCATCATCATACTCAGCATCATCATCATCATCATCATCGTCATCACCAGTATCAGCATCTTCCTTATCATTAGCATCATCATCGTCAGCTTCTTCATCATCATAATCATCATTGGCATCATGATCAGCATCGCCATCCTCATCAACAGCAACATCAGCAACAAAAACATCGGCGACGACGACAACAACATCAGCATCAACAGCAACATCAAAATCAACAACAACAGCAGCAGCAGCACCAACACAACAACAAAAGCAACAGCAACAACAACAACAACAACAACATCATCATCGTCGTCCGCATCCGCATCATCATTATCATCATCATCATCATCATCATCATCATCATCATCATCATCATCATCAGCACCATCGTCATCATCGTCATCTGTATCTGCATCATCCTCATCATCATCATCATTACTATCAGCATTCTCACACACATCCTCATCAGTCTCTTCCGAGCAGAATCCTCATCATCCTCGGCATCAGCATCATGATCATCAGCATCACCATCATCATCGTCTTCATCGTCAATGTCAGCGCCATCATCATCAGCAGCAGCAGAAGCAGTATCAGCAACATCCGAATCACCATCATCATCGTCAGAATAATCAGCATCATTATCTGCCTCATCATCAACATCAACATCATCACAATCATCATCATCGTCATCATCACAATCATCAGCATCGTCATCACCATCACTATCATCAGCATCAACAGCAATATCATCATCATCAGCATCAGCAGCAGCAGCAAAATCATCATCATCATCGTCGTCGTCACCATCATCAGCATCATCATAATCATAATCAGCATCATCAGCACTTCCATCATCACCAACGACAAATGAATGAGCATCAACATCATTGCAGTCATCACCACCACCACCACCACCACCATCATCATCATCCTCATCCTCATCACCATCACCGTCGTCAGCATCATCATCATCAGTATCATCACAATCGTCATCGTGATCGTCATCTTCATCATCATATCGTTGTCATCATCAATATCAGCATCATCATCAGCATCAGCATCAGCATCAGCAGCATTACCATCACCATCATCATCATCATCATCATCATCATCATCATCATCAGCATCATCATCATCATCATCATCATCATCACCATCAGCAGCAGCAGCATCTCTCCTTCTCCCTCTCTCCCCCTCCATCCCTCCATATGCACCCCCCCTCCCTCTCCCTCCGTCCACCATCCTTCCCCGCTTTCATCTCGTCACCTCCTACTTCTCATCCTCCTCCGAGTCCTCCACATACTCATACTGTTCCATCGTATCTGCACGTGCGTTCTTCTCCTCCTCCTCCTCCTCCTCATCCTCCTCCTCATCATCCGCCTCTCCCTCCTTCCGATCACCTCATCCTCATCATCAGCGTCCTCAGCATCATCATCATCATCACCATCATCATCATCATCATCATCATCATCAGCAGCATCGTCAGCATCATCATCATCATCATCATCATCATCATCATCATCATCATCATCGTCAGCATCATCATAATCATCGTCGTCCTCAACCTCAGCATCACCATCCTGAGCATCACCATCACTCGTCATGGTCATCACCGTCATCGTAATCGTCTTCATCATCCTCGGCAGCATCATCATCAGCATCATCAGCAGCATCAGCATCATCAGCAGCATCAGCATCATCAGCATCCTCAGCATCATCATCATCATCAGCATCATCATCACCAGCATCATCATAATGGTCACCATCGTCACAATATCCAGCATCACCACCACGGTCGCCATCACAATCCTCAGCATCAGTATCAATATCCTCATCAACAACAGCATCGTCATCACCAGCACCGTCATCGCCATCATCAGCAAGAGGATCATCACAAGCATCAGCATCACCATCGTAAGCATCATCACGATCATCGCAATCATCATCACCATCACCGTCACCATCACCATCACCGACATCAGCAGCATCTTCATCAACAGCAGCAGCATCAGCATCATCATACTGATCATACTCATCATCCTAATCATCATCAGCATCAGTATCATCGTCATCGTCAGTCATCATCCTCATCATGATCATCACCAGCATCATCAACAGCAGCAGCATCAGCACAAGCATCAGCAACAGCATCAGCATCAGAATCAGCATCGCCGTCATCACCATCATCATGCTGGTGTAGTAGCTGGAAGACACCAGAGAAAGGTGGGGCAGAGAGAGGAGAGGACAAATGGAGGGAGCCCGTACCCTGCTTTCCCTCCCTTCCTGCCCTCCTGAGGCTCTGCCGTTTCCCCCCTGCGCCACGATGGCGTCCGACTTGGAACGGTCCCGACCTGTACGTGGTCGGAGGGCAGGTGCGCCCTCCTGCTGCCATCTCCTGCTGTTCCTCATCCTCCTCCTCCTCCTCCTCCTCCGACCCTCGGACCCAGGCGTCGCTCAAATTGCAAGAGCCACGTCACAACAGAAACGCGACGTCGGAAGAGAGGGACGGTGGACACGCTTCACGTGTTGACGTCCGCGGGGTGGTCAGGCGACAGAGGTTCATGACCCCCCCGTCCCCGCGGTCGTCGCTCCGACTCATCCCCCTCCCTCCCTCGCCCTCCCCCTCCCCATTCCTCCTCCCCACCCCTGCACCTCCTCTTCCCCAAAATTCTCTGGAACCCCTCAGAATCCTCTCATCCCCGTCCTCCTCCTCCTCTTCCTCCGAGCCCTAGGCTGACGCTTGGCATGCTCGGGCCTCATCCTCTTCCACCTCTTCCTCCTCATCAGATTCCTCCTCCTCCTCCTCCACCGTTTACTCCTCCTCCTCCTCCTCCTCCTCCTCCTCCGGGGGGGGGGCCACAAAAACAAGGACCTGACTGTATTATCCCTTCTCCTTCTGCTCCTCCTCGAGCTCCTCCGCCACCTCCTCATCATCATCCTTTCTTGAGGGGCCCTAAGGATGACGGCTGCAATACTCGATTGGATAGTATCTTCTTCTCCGTGCCCAAAGACTCCTCCCCCTAATCATCCTCCCCCCATCCTTTCCCACCCTCCTCTTTCTCACCCTCCGCGTCCCTGGCCCTCTGAAACCCCTAGAACCACCCTCGACCACAACGCGAGACCACGACGAGAGACGACGACGACGACGACGACGACGACGACGACGACGACGACCACGACGACCACGACGACCACGACGACGACAGCAACAACCACGACGATGACAGCAACAACCACGACGACGACGAGGACGACGACGACAACGACGACGACCACGACCACGACCACGACCGCGACCACGACCACGACCACGACTACGACCACGACGACGACGACGACCACGACCACGACCACGACCACGCCCACGACCACGACCACGACCACGACCACCACGACGGCAACGACGACGACCACGACGACCACGACGACCACCACGACCACCACGACGACCACGACAGCGGCGACGACGGCGACGACCAAGGCGACGACGACGACGACGACGACGACGACGACGACAACGACGACGACGACGACGACGACGACGACGACGACGACGACGACGACGGCGGCGACGACGACCACGACGACCACGACGGCCTCAGCGACGACGAATAGAACGACGAAGCACGACGGCGACTACGACCACGACCGACGATGACCGACGAGGACTGACGGCAACGATGACGACGGCAGCCTGCTGCCGCGCCCCTCAGAGCGGCAAAACAGAGCGGTCCCAGCGTCAGCCTCCCGGGGGGGGGGGGGCGCCGGCGGCCACGCGGGCGCGCCCGGCGCGGCCCCGCAGGGCGAGGAGAGAGAGGAGTGAGAGGGGTGCCATAGCTTGAGGCTCGAGATTCGATGGGGGCGTGAGCCTTCTTGGGCCACCCGGAACGCCTCGCAGGACCCCTCCCAGGATCCCCCGCGGGATACTGGCCGGAACGCGGCCCAGGATAGCTCCGGGGGAAAGGGATGCGATTTCTAAGCGAGCTCACGGCGAGTCGTGACCCGGTGTTTGATGGGAGAGGGAGGAGGAAGGAGGAGGAGGAGGACCACGACGTCAACGAGGACGACGAGGACGAAGACAAGGAAGAGACGAAGACGAGGAAGGGAGTAGGAGGAGGAGAAGGAGGAGGAGGAGGAGGAGGAGGGAGAGGAGAAGGAAGGGGGGGAGGAGGAGGAAAGAAGGAGGAGGAGGAGGAGGAGAAGAAGGAGGAGGAGGGGGAGAAGGAAAGGAGGAGGAGGAGGCGGAGGCGGAGGCGGAGGCGGAGGCGGAGGAGGAGGAGGAGAGGAGGAGGAGGAGGAGGAGGAGGAGGAGGAGGAGAAGGAGAAGGAGAAGGAAGGGGGGGAGGAGGAAGAGGGGGAGAAGGAGGAAGAGGAGGAGACGGAGGAGGAGGAAGGGGGGAGGAGGAGCAGGAGGAAAAGGAGGGGGAGGAGGAGGTGGAGGAGGAGGGGGAGGAGGATAATGAAGGAAAGAAGGAAGAGGAGAGGAAACAAGACGAGGACGAAGACGAAGACGAGGACGAGGAGCAGGAGGAGGAGGAGGAGGAGGAGCCCTTCCTCCCTCCTCCCTCTCCCCTCCTCCCCCCCTCCTCCCTCGTCACTCCTCCTCCTCCGTCATCCCCTCTTCTCTACCGTCCTCCTTTCTCATCCCTCCTGTCCTCCCCATCGTCCGCCATCTACTGCAATAAAATGTACAGCAAATATAATACCAATGCAACGAAGTGCAGTGTAGTGCAACGCAACAAGATCGTAGATTGGCCAGCTGCTTTGTTGGCTGGTGGCTGGTCGATCGGCACGTTGGTTGGTTGGCTGATTGGGTGGCCGGCCGCCACGCGGCAACGCCCGGGCGGGTGGCAAAATGCAACTCCACTCTGCCCGTCACGTGGCAGCGCCACGGGGGCCTGAACAAGACGATTCCACTCTGTTCGCCGCGTGGCAGCGCCTGGCGGAGCCACTCCACGCGCCACGCGGCAACGCGCTGGGGGCGCGAAGAAGCAGCGTCCCATCCACTCTGCCTGTCACGTGGCAGCGCCGCGGGGGCCAGAAGCAAAACCGCTCCTCGCTACTCGTCGCGTGGCAACGCTGCGGGGGCGACAAACAGGGCTACGCCACTCCAGTCGCCACGTGGTCACGCCTGGAGGCGCGAGAAAGAGACCTGTCGTTCCAGTCGTCACGTGGCAGCGCCGCGGGGGGCGAAACAAACTTTATGCCACGAGCACGGCGACGAGGACGACGACGAGAACGACGACGACGACGACGATGACGGACGAGGGCCAGGGAGGCGAACGAACATGCGATCCTATCCTCCTTGTCCTTCTTCCTCCCCCCTCCCTTCTCCCTCCCCCATCCTCCCTCCTCCCTCCTTCCTCCCCCTTCCTTTCCTTTCCCTCCCCTCCTCCCCCCTCCCTCCTCACTCCTCCTCCTTTATCCCCTCCTCTCTACCTTCCTCAACTCTCCTCCCTCCTGTCCTCCTCCCCTTCGCCCGCAATCTGTTAGACAGCATTGCAACTGCAACGCAGTGCAACGCAATGCGTCGCAGCAGGATGCAATGCAATGCAATGCAATGCAATGCAATGCAATGCAATGCAATGCAATGCAATGCAATGCAATGCAATGCAATTCAATGCAATGCAATGCAATGCAATGCAATGCAATGCAATGCAATGCAATGCAATGCAATGAAAATGCAAATGCAAATGCAAATGCAAATGCAAATGTAAATGCAAATGCAAATGCAAATGCAAATGCAAATGCAAATGAAAATGAAAATGCAAATGCAATGCAGAACAATGCAATGCAATGCAAAGCAACGCAACGCAATGCAATATAACGTAGCGCGTCACGTGGAAGGGCTGTGGGGGCCGCACAAAAACATGATGCCCGTCGCACTCCTCCCCTTACCCCCGCCCTGCTGTCGTTCCGAATCAAAGCAAAAAAAACAAAATCTGGGCCCAGCGGCATGAGATGTCCTCAGAACATGTACCCGCAAGGACTGGTCGGCTGGTTGGTTGGCTGACTGTATGGCTCCCTGGTTGCCAGGTGAGCCGGCGTCCAGAGGCCAAGATTGGTTCACCCCTCACCCGCCTAGCGACTAGGGGGTCGGAAAGAATTCGCTTGCCCAGAAACGTGGTTTAACAGTTTTGGCCAGGAGTAACAAAAACACACGCACACACACACAACAAAAAAAGCAACAACACGACCCAATTGGAAGGGGGAATTCGGGGACTCGAGGTTGGCCGCGGGGGGCGCCCGCGTGGGGGCACGAGGTCCGGGCAGCGAGGGAAGATTGGCAGCCGCTCGCGCGGTGGCGACCGGGGCGCCCGGCCCAGCGAAGGGGCGGGGAGGGGCGAGGGGAGGCAGGCAGGCGATGGGGGGGAGGAGGAATCGGGGATGGACAGACCCCCCCTCAGTAAACCGTGGTTCAGTGAAAACGACCTGAGGCCCAAACCTGGCGGGCGCAAGCCTGGAAAATAACGGCCACGGCGCCCTCTCGAGAGCCGGACACGGGCAATTCACTAATCGACATGTCACTGTTAGAGGTTCTGTCCACCCCCGAAAGAAGAAGGAAGAAAGTGGACGGGGGAGAGGCAGAAGGGGGAGGAGGTGCAGGGCGGCGGACGAGGGGGACGAGAGGCAAGGGGGCGTGGGGAAGAAGGGCGAGGGGAAATGGGAGGCCAGGGGGGGGACAGAAGGAGCAGACCGAGCAAAAAAAAAAAAAAAAAACGCGAAGGAGGAAAAGCAGGAGTACAGGGAAAAAAGGGGACGGAGGAGTAAGAGAAAGAGCAAAAAGAGGAGGAGGACGCGAAGGATGGAGGAGAATTCGGCGGCCCAACGGGCCAGAGGCGTACTAAGATCTCCGGTAACAGGTTAACAATATTTCTAGTTCGCGCGCGCGTGGCGGCCCCTGGGCGAAAAGTACCCTGGGCGATGGCCGGTCGATGCCCGGCCGACTCCCCAGGGCGCTCCAGGAGCGCGGCAAGAGCGCGCCGGGACGCCCACTACACGGCCCAAGAGGCCCCGAGTCGCCGAAAGATCGTTCCAAGACGCTCAAGATGGTCTCCAGATGGCCGCCGACAGAGCTCGCGAAAAAGCCCCAAGAGAGCCTCAAGAGGCTCTCCAAGAGGGCCCCCACAAGCAAGAATCGTCCCATTCCCTTCGGATAACGTACATTTTTCGCGTGTGCGACGTTTCTCTCCTTTTCGGGTTTCCAACGATCCAAGACGGCCCAAGAGGCCCCCAAGACAGCCCCAAGACGGCCCAAGAATCCTCCAAGAGGGCCCCAAGACGGCCCAAGATGGCCCCAAAGGCAAGATGGGCTGGCGGAATGAACGAAGCGATTAAACAAAGAAGAACTGACAGGAGGTGGAGGAGGGGGGGGCGGGCAAGCTAGGTGCGCTCGAGTCATACCTGACGTCCTATCCCTCCCTCACATACCTTATCATGGCGTGGATCTCCTCTCTATTCGCACAGTCGGATGTCGTAGCATGGCATAACATTACATGGCATAGCAAGATGTTGAAGATTGACGCGTAGCATGACATAGCATGGCGTGGAGACGCCACAAAGTAGGGGGGGCTTCTGCGGGCACAAAAAATTAACGAATCGATACCGAATGTGGAATCACTTCTGATGGTGTCTCTGGAAGGCCATGTTTTAGATTTTGGGGCCTATATGGAAGGACCGAAAACCATGCCGTGGCATAGCGCTGGAACTAATGACGCCAGCGCTGCAGCGAGAGCAAGACTCGGAACGAGCGGAAGCGCGGAAATGAGGCCAGCGCTGCCGCGGGAGCACGATTCGGAACGAGCGGTAGCCCGAAAATGAGGCCAGCGCTTCATCGAGAGCAGCATTTTGAACAAAAACCCAAGCGTGGGAGCGCGGAAATGAGGACGCGTAGCCTGACATAGCATGGCGTGGCGACGCCCAAAGTGGGGGGGGCTTCTGCGTCTCAAAAAAAATCGAATTGACACCGAATGTGTAATCACTTCCGATGGTTTTTTCGTGAGGCCATATTCTAGATTCTGGAGCCTATTTACATAGATTTGGAAGGACCGAAAACCATGCCGTGGCATAGCGCTGGAACTAATGACGCCAGCGCTGCAGCGGGAGCACGACTCCGAACGAGCGGAAGCGCGGAAATGAGGCCAGCGCTGCCGCGGGAGCACGATTCGGAACGAGCGGTAGCCCGAAAATGAGGCCAGCGCTTCATCGAGAACAGCATTTTGGAAAAAGACCCCAAGCGAAAACCCTTCTCCCAGGAATCCTCTGTAAAAAACAATACGCGGAGGGGGGCTGGCCATTTCAAGGACCCCACCAGGGGAGAGAGGAGAGTAGTATTCATGTTGTTTAATTGTGGAGGGGGATCGGAAGAGAGAGGATGAGGAGGAAGAGGAGACGAGGAGGAGGAGGAGGAGGAGGAGGAGAAGGAGGAGGAACACCAGCAGCACACCAACCGCCGTGCAACACGGACCCATATGTGCACACGTACCTGTTGTCTTCCTGTTCCCTGCCTCCCATGCCTCATCTCTCATCCTTCTCCAAGGCAGTGGTACCGTGCTCGTGGGTGTATGTTGCTCTCGCGAAGTGTCCCACGTGAGTTCCCGCCTTTGCCAAATGTGGTTGTGAAGTGCATGATGCGTGCACCTACACCCATCATCACGGAATTCCACACCCACCCACACACACACACTCTCTGAG